CGTTTTCGTGATATAGCAGCGTCATGAGGTGATGGGGAATTATGCGTCAGTTGCAGAAACAATGTTAAAACGTTCGTAATTCATACTTTTAAATAAATAACTTTATTTAGGTATACAATAAATAATATTTGTTACTTAAAGTACAAATGATTTTAAGGACGCTAAAAAATAACAGCCTCAGCAACTAGCAACTTCCTAGACAGTTTGTAAACCTATGTACCTACTGTAAAAGTTCTAAAAATATTTTGGAAAGAAATTAAAAAAGGAACAAAAAATTATTTTTTGCACCGAACGAATAGAGTATGTAGGGCTTAATTATTTTTCTCTCGATCTTTTCTAATTTAAATTTTTGATCTGAAAAAAACTTTATTTTAGTGAAAATAGTAGGGCTGGTCGGTATTTAACGTAACCGCTTAAATAACAGGTTCCTAACGTATAACCTGAAGCCGTAGTTACAGCTAGCCGATCTAACGGTTTTTTTTTGGAACCGTCTCATAAATCCAAAATAGCGGTGCGCACTTCCGACACCGTCGAGCGATCTATCCAGTTGCAGCCGTTTGCAATAAATATAAAAAAAGGGATTTCTATCAAGAAACTTAGCTCGATAGTTATATGCTCATTACCAGCAAACTAAGCAGAATGTGCACTTGCATATGAGCTATGAGCAAACTAAGAGTCTAATATAAAAATTATGGAATTTTACAGCTGAAATATAAAATAACAAGCGTTCTAAGCAGAATGTGCACCTGCATTAAGCAAGCTGGCCATTTTTAAATATAAATTCAGTCAGAGATAAAATAAAAGTTATTTGAATAGTAATAAGCGTTGTAAGGTCGACATATTTTTTTTTAATTACTTTTTGGTGGTACTAAAATTAACTCGAGTAAGTCGTAACTTCGTCCAGATTTGCCAAACACGTATTTCTGTTTGTTGTTATTGTGGATTATTTAATGTTATTGTGAAACGAAATGCCAGAGATTATTTTTTAAAGCGGATGCTATCATAAACGTGCGAAGAATTAAAATCGGTAAAAAACACCTGCAAAAAATGTCATTCTTAAATGCTAATTTATTTTTAAATGAAAATTTTTAACATTTAAATTTTAAACATTTTCCCATATAACCGTATATTTTATTTAATCATTATTTCATAATCGTTTTATTATTATCAGTTTTTTTGGTCCTTGAGTAGTTACTTCTGACCCATGTTGCGTTTTATTTTAGAATCTTATATTATTTTAAGTTTACGAATGTTAAGAATTAGGTTTTTAATAAAGGAAATCATTATATATCATCACTATTTCTACAATCAGCATTCTGCAATTTTAATGAAAAATTTAAAAAGGAACATGCTATTACCAAGGTAAAACTGGACCATTGTAACCCGTTACAGAAAATTAACCGTGTGCCACAAATCCACAAAATAGGTTTTAAAATATTACTTCGCTACATTTCGCTAAAATTTTCAGAATGTATTAATACGGTGGGATGTTACATTTCATGTGTCGTTTCAAATTCGACGTACTTATTTTGTAAAATAATTTTGCTTTGCATAAATTGCATTTTGCAAAATTATTATCTAATGCAGAAACGAAAGGCCCAAAAAAGTAATTTTCCGTCGCTCTGCACAATACATAACAAACAATTTCAATTCGAAAAAATGAACAAAACAGAAATACTATGTGTATTCCCAGAAAATTATTTTAAAAATACACAAACAGGCTACTGATACACAGTCGGAATACGGCTAATGAATATGAATCAATGTGGTGCATACTGAAATATGAATCAAATACCAAAAATATCAATAAAATCCAGGCCCAAGGGAACCCGTGATTGCAAGCTTTCATTAACGAACAAAATAATTTTATTTGGGTTCGTTCTTTCGCCGGGCCACATGCGCAACATATGATCACCACCCGCAACTCGCAATAGCAGTGAAAATATAAGAGGCTCTTTAATATCACGTTTGAGACCATCACGTTTTAAATCACTGTTTATTTTATTTTCGTCACAGATTGTGATTGCAATTTATTAATCACTGTGAAAAAATCACAGGTAGTGATTTATCGCTCAACTCTAACAAATATCCTCCTTTATGACTTGCCCCAGTTCAACTGTGGACGAAAAATCCATTGCGTCTAAGTAAAGTATAATATAAATGACTACACTCACTTTAAAAAGTAGATTTAACACCGGGGTCTGCAAGGGTTTGCAAAATTATTATAATTAAAATTAGTGTCTATTCATTCATTTCGTTGCACTTATTGAATGCGAAGGTTACATCGATGAAACGAGTTATTGGCTTCTTTAAAATAATCATTTGATTCCTATCCTATAATGATCAATCATTGAATCCATGGTCATATCAAATGACGATTCGTGGGCTAAGGCTGTTGAAATTATGAATGAATCTCAAAAATGTTCCGAATTGGAAAAGCATCTAGGACCTGGAATGTATTATAGTAGTTAAAATTATAATTAATCATTTTTATCAGATTTTTATTTTGCCAAGTTTGGTCTTTTTATGGCGCAAAAAATCTATTACGACAAATATTTGACTACAATGTCTGCATTCTTCTTCGACTCCCTGCTATTATCCCAACCTCTTTCGCAGTCTTTCTAATAATGAATAATTGGCAAAACGGCAAATATTAGCAGAGTTGTGCCGCCGCGTGTTTACCAATCTAATAATGGTTCTGTTTAATGGGCTGACGCCGTATTATTTTAGGGTTTGTTAACCAGGGGTTAACTGTTATCTTTTGCATGTCGGATTAATCGATTTTCGAGTTGTCAGTTTAGTACGCGACCATTCTCGATTGGCTTTGGACGCCGTTGAACATTCACCTGCATATTCCTATATGCCAATAAGTTTTCTTTTAATTCAATCAAGCAAAATTAATTTAAGAATTGCAATGCTTAACCGCAATTAACCCGACCACCTAATCCAATATCCGGATTTTCTGTCTTCCCTCTGTGTCTCTCCGATGTTTCTGAGTTCAATAACGATTTAACTTTTACGATTTCTGTTTACTTATTTGCTTCGTTCTGTTCGTGAGTGTTTTGCCAGATTTTCCCATGCTGAATTGCCATAAAAATACGCCTGTTTATTGACCATGTTCAATAGTCTGATTCGAAACAAGCTGCCAGCTAAACAGACAGGATTTAAAGGTGTTGGTTTTTATGGCAAAGTCATATTCTGATTATGACGCAAATATTTGTTCGTAGGAAAGTACCCAAGTTATATGAGCTGAGGTTATAATATAGAGAGGTGTTCACGCTTGAATGGCCTGATATGAATGATTTTTGACACCGAAACAATGCCGTATTATTTCGGTAGAAAAAAATCAAAACTTCTATTCCGAAGTATTCAAAGCAGAACGAATTCTGGAGCTTTTCATGCTATTAGCCATCAGGAAAATAGACAAATGGCAGTAACGGAATATCATTGAAATTTAAGCCGAATTCAGGCAGCGGATCCTAACGAAGCAATCCGGCTATAAATGTAAAAGGCAGCAGCAAACTGAGTTGGGAAAATTATGAAACTAATTGCATGATGTCGACGGAAATAATATAAAATAAGCGTTCCAGTTACGATGCCAGTGTGAAATTTCAAACCTTGCCTTTGTTTCATTGCCGGAAAACAAGTTTCCGTTGCGAATATCAGCTCAGAGATACTGACTGGTTTCCGGTTTAGTGATGTCGTTTATTAGAGCAAAATGCCGGTGTCCAGATTCACTTTTTCATCTCTAATTATGATTTGATTCACACCTTGCTTGCTTCCGCTCACATATACATTCGCGACATAAATAATGTCGCTAATGTACAAATCACTCGGGATTGCTGTTAGCTGATAACGCTCCTAAAGAAAAACTCCTGCAAAGTTGTGAAACTTGCAATAATCGCGCAAACATGCTATAATAAATCAATATCGTCGCAGACATCATCAATTCGAAAACTTTAACAATATCTGCACCGCATAATCTTCCGGATTCGAGTATTGGAACATTTTGCTCGTTCGTCTCGGCTGTGCCAACTTTCTAAAATATGCCCGGCGCGACGATAATATTTATATATATAAGAACTCTGCGGCCGTTGAAATTCATAAATCAAAAAGTTTCCTCCGGGAGTTTTCTATTGTGCGCGCCTCAACAAAACAGAGCCCCCTCCAGCCCCTTGATATATGGCTTTTTTGACATAATGAAGGCAACTTTAAATGAATTAAAATCGGCGACTATTTAATTGTCGCCTTGAAGAAGCTCATGAGAAATTTAGTTAAATGGAAATTAAGTGTAAATTAAATTAACTGCTCTACGAGCTCGTATTGGTTAATTATGTTGCCGTTTGCTTTCTTTCTTTTTTGTTTTTGTTACTCCGTGATTTATTATTTCAGGTTTCTACATCAGCTACTTTTGAGATTATCCAATTAACTTGCCTCAAAATTTTCCGGGACTGATTTCGTTCATATCCGCACTGCTTGGCTCTGTTTTTACTACACTTTGAATGCTTTTTAGGTACTTGCTTCTATTCCCTTTTACAACTTCTCTATCTTTTTCTGGATGTTTTCAATAAGTTTTAGCTTTTCCGATTTTTCGTGTTGTCTTTCTTCTCCTGTATGTTAGATTCCCTAATTTTACATATGTTGGGCATAACAAATATTTTACAAACCAAAAATGAACTTAGCATTAATTCTTTCTCGTCCAAATTTTAAAAAGTTCTGTCGTACTACGACTGAGTAAGTTTCGGTTTAACATCATAAGAATGCAAGTTTTCACCATTAAAGCTTAATAACCATGCACTTGTTGGGACAATTTGTATATACGATAATAATCAATCATTTCTAGTTCAAAAATCGTATTGCGTTTTAAATTGTCCTAGCAAATTGTGAATAATATTTGAAACATTTCAGCAAGTTGGTAGCAATTCTCGATGGAGATGCTGGTCAAACGTGCGCATTTAAGGACATTTTGCAAGTCCTTCTATAGTCAAAGATGCACTTACCAGATATGCCATCGTAGGTCCACCATTCCTCCCAGCTGACTGCCTGTACAACTGCAACAGAAAAAACAGCAAGTTAGTCATCGTAGGCCGTATGAAACAGTTGGAAGCAGCTCTTATTCAGCAGGAATGGCAAAAATACCCGTCTATGAATAATCTGACGGGTTATGCGGAATATTAGCATAAACAAGTGAGTAGTGGGCATTAGCATATCAAAATAGTGCCCGGGGCGCGGCCACGTTATTGTGTTTCATTTCCGGCCGGTCGGCGCTCCACAAAGGAAGCAAATTTGATTTTTATCGCCCCCCGCTCTCTCTCTTTCCCTCGCTATGGTCTTACAAATTTACCTATTCGAATGAAATTGCATCGAATGTGCACGAATCGGAATTCGGTCATAATAATGCCTCTAGCTGTTAATAGTTCGATTTGGGTGCCATAAAGATGCCCAGTTAATAAAGCAATATGGCATATTCATGCCACTAATAGGCCTCATATGAAACTGGAAATATCATGAAAATTATATAGTGGTGCAGTTAATGGTTTTATACAAAAAGTTAGCTTTGCCTAGAATACTCAAGTTTCAGCTAAACAGCAAAATACACATTTAATTTGTATGTCCTTTGCTTCAGTGTCCCACTTGAACACGCTTCTCAATGGTTCTATCAAGATTTGATATGGAGGATTATACAGCTACATCAACATCAGCCCTGCTAGTCAATTTTTAAAATGACTACACCATATTTGTATAGCTTGGTTTTCACTCTCAAGTGTGTCTTTTTAATGCTAAATAAATTAAAAGTCTCAACGTCTTAAAATACAAGCCAAACAGTGCGAGATTGGTAGGTCCTGCAGGGTTAGATCAATCAGCTTTACAACCTCAATTTTTAAATTTGGCCCCAAAATCGGGACATCAAAATATAAGACCAAGACTCTCCCAAGATCATCCGGTCATTCGGTTTTAAGCATGGGTTACCCCGGCAGAAAACTATAAAACTAAACAAAATGTGGGCATTACGGTAATCCGATATTGAATTAAATAATTAATCCGCATTAAATCTGAACTCGTAGCATTAAATATGATGAATAAAAAGATGGGTCGTTTTTAAGGCTTAATTAACCGGAAACATTAAATTAGAAACCAAAGCTACAGTCATAAATAAAACATTATTTAAAATGTGATCGGTTCCAGATGTTTTTCTTTTCTTTCAGATTACCTGAATCAGGGGCAGGTGATTTTAATATTGGCAAAATAAAGTTAGTTAGTCGTCGATATTGCCTACATAAAATTGCTTCTTGATCGACATAGTTAATGTTTGTGCCCTTCTGTTGGTTTAAGTACAGGTTAAGTTTGTCTCATAGAGTAACCCTTTTCACTGTACCTGAATATACAAATATTAATATTTTCTAGCATTTATTTATAATTTCCTTAATACCCATTTATATTTAAATTACTTTTAATTTTTGATCCAGTTTTTGGTAAATTTCGTATTCAAATGGTATAAGCTAATTAATGTGTTTATTATGCACATTCGATAAAACAGTAAAATCTCAAGTGGTAAATACATTTCGGTGAATTGTTTCCATTGTATACTGTAATAATTATTATTCCAATGTGCCTTGTCAAGGTTCTTAAATACAGTTGGTGTATAAACAGTAATATAATTTAATCCTTGCAACGAATCATGTCCATTATTAATAATTCAGTTTTTGTTGTGTTTTCTATCAGTAAAATTCTGTAAGCCGAATCAAAATATTTAAATATCTACAGCTTTCTGTAGATATTTCATTGTTATTATACTTTTGTTAGAATATGTAAACTACATGAAAATATATTCGGTTTCTCTGGATGAAGATCTTCCGGATATTGATAGACAATGAAAAAGAACTGGTCAACAATTTTCAATTACAAAAGAATTAAACTTATTAAAGTAGCAAATAGTCTGAGATTTTTTAATTGTACATATTATTTATTTATTGGATATATAGGGTAATTCAAAATTGGCGTCAGTCTTTTTAAGGGGTAACAGGGGCTCACTTGGAAGGGAAGAGAAAAATAAAGACATTTTTTTTCGATAATTTCTAGAAGATATTAAGAGTTGACAATGGAATTTAAACTTTATTATAAAGCATTATTTTGACAGGGTTCCATGTTTAATTGGAAGCATATTGGAATACTTAAGAAGAGAAGTATAAGGAATACTTAAGAATTACGAACATTTTTGATATTAAAAAAGTTCTCTTCTACAATTTTTTTGTCATTAACAGAAACAGACAAGTGGATAGCCCTTGTCAATAATAACAATAAATTGTCAAACTGTGACTTAGTTTGAATTTCCTTTAACGAATTTGCGGATATGCGACTAGTTCAGGGGAAATGCTACAATAACATAGCAGAAGCTGAAAGAACTCACGCCAACAAAGGGCGAAGAGAGTGGTTCCAGGAAGATAGTGGACAACAATCGATGTTCGGGTTCCAGACACAGAGGAACAAGTATTGGACATAATTGCAGAAGAGCCTTTCAGTGGCACTCAGAACATTGTGCAACAACTGACACTTTCCCAGGCACCAAATCAATACCGGCAACATCCCTACCACGTATGTAAGATACACATTAAACCAATGGATTACTAAACACCGTTATAAATTGAGCAGGAGTTAATTAACCGAATACGAGAAGATKCTTGTGAAGAGTGCATAATAAGGTGATTACACAGCCACTTGTTTGTAGTTACAGACTCAAATGTATRTTTTTGTAATTTGCAAACAAATTAATAGTAATTCAACGAATCCTGTTGAATTTACCGTTTATCCTTGTCTATCTCATTGTCACTTTCTCTATTTATTCATGGTTACCGGAGTTTTAAATAATTACGAAGTAATAGGTATTTACGTAATGTTAATTAGACATATTACCTTGAAAAACATTGTTGCCGTTTTTCTAATATAGTTTTTTGCAAAATTATTAGTTTTTAATTAATAACAATTAATTTTTTTATTATTTTTCTGTACACCTAAAACTGATTTTACAGGGTGATGTGGAATCACCCTGTATATACATTTTGTATCGATTATTATTATCTTTTAATTTAATTATTATTCTTGTACATAAAAGCAAGACTTGCAAGAGTCTTGCTGCAAGACCAAGACCAATACAAAGGCTGCCGTTAATTTGCAAGACCCAGACCAAGACCATGCAAGTCTTGGTCTTGGTCTTGCTTTGCTCATCACTAAAAAAGCTTGTTTTTAGTTTAATGATGCAGTTAATGGGTAATTTTTGCTGCTTGCAATATCTCCAAACGATAGAGGTTAATACGAGTAGCACTAAAAAACCCAGTTTGAATCTGTGTTTCTTTGGAGTGCATTAGCTGATAAGCGCAATCTATACTTTCTTCAGTTTCATATAGTGTCATGTCAATTTTTAGATTTTAAAATAGAATTAAATGCAAGACTCGATCGAAACCAATCGGCAATGTCTAGAAAGAATCAGATAGTGCCAGTGTGTAAGTGGACCTCAATTTTAAATTTTAATAATGCAAATAGTATAGAGTACAAGTATATTAGTAACTAATGAACACAGGAACTTCCGAATGAACTTTAATATATAATGGGCCAACGATCGAGAAAATAGTATGTCGCGAAGCTAAAAGGGCGAAGAAATGAAGGTATTGTCTCAAATGGCTCTATTTTAATGAGACCAACGCAAGGTAATGTTCTGAAGCTGCGTCTTGCAAATGTGAAGTTAATAATCCATAAAATCACTTGAAAAGAGAACAGGCGCGACTAACCGACATCATTTGCGCGAAAAAGGGCACATTTTTGACGGATAATTAACTCACCTTTAGCACAGTTTATTACCCAGAAACTGACCTGGATATCTCTCCCACAAACCCGAACTTCATTCCACATACCTGACTGGAATATCCAGATGTAACTAGGTACGTTAACTAATAGGGACTCCCTTATTTTATTACTTTGTTTCTACGGCGGTCAGTCCTTGGGTTAGTGTAATTACTTTAGGGCTCTTCCACGGAGATTTATGTGTTGTTCGCTGTGCGATGGAATTTTTGAGGATTCTGCAGAAAATTTGAATCTTTCAGCGTCCACAACTGAACCAGCTGAACAAATTAAGCAAAGTGAGCCGTGGTGGTAAAGCTGGGGATTTGATGGCGTGGCCGGAAAAATTAACCCATCAAAAATTAATGTCAAGAAGCCGGGCTTTGCCATGGGGAATCGTTTTACTACCGCCAGCGAAACAAAAGATGATATTTTACGTCTTTTCTTAGGCAAAAACGATTTCTCCGAGCGAGATATGAATAATATGTTTGGGATTTGGATCTATATTTCAAACGGGCCGAGTCTGTTGCTGAAAACGCGAGCAGTTTTCCTTTGAATAAATTTGCGATTTTGCTTCATTTGCCATAGTTTTTCATTGTCAACCAAGGCTGGTGTTTTTGCAAACATACGCAAGATTATTTTAATATTTAACCCCCACGTTTGTTTTGCTTTTGGCTTCCGCGTGTTTACATAAACAATAAGAATCCTGCTTCATTAATATAATTTTTTCAAAGAAAAATTCCCGCAAGCCATCTCAAGTAATAAATTATTTACTTGAAACCCCCAGCTCAGCCCTCAAATAATTTCCTTTGGATTACTCGAAAGTTGTATCCAACTAGTTCATAGTTAAGGAGAATGTTCGGATGCTTCGGGGACCAAAAGTCATACATTCGTCCCAGGACTGCAATGACCGAGCAGCAATATTGACTAGTGTCCTGGCCATGTAAATTTCAAATATCTGTCTCCAGAGACCTACCTATATTGCATATTTTATTTCAAAATGCAGCCATATATTATGGCCATCAAAAGTGGGCCACTGGCGATCGTTCGAAGGTGAAGTACACTGTTTTTATTCGCATGGAGTTACTAAGAAGAGCATATAACACTAGCGCCATATAGTCATTAGAATATTTCTGACAGAATTTTTTTTTAATCCGATACACTGTATAAATTCGTACTTTTTGGGAGATATTCATATAATGACGGTGGAAATTGCCAGAAAAGCCCCAATAGAACAACTAATCGATATAACATAAATTACAAAAGGAAATTTAAATTCTCTTTTTCGAGCCCAAGTTTGAGCATTCAACAAAATTAGAATTTCAAAATTTGATACCGCTCATGCTTTAGCTTTAAGCACTTTCTAGTATGAAAGTATAATATATTGCAAAATCTCAGGAAGCAACCTCAAAAATCCAGCAGCTGAAAACACATACGAGAACTTGAAACGAAGAGAGAGCAACATTCAAGTTCCCTTCAATTCTCATATATTTTTTCCAGTTTTGCTTTTGGCGTGAAAACTGCTGCTATTTCCGAGCCCGAAATTCCATTTACTGGATGCAATTTTTTATTTTCTATCCAGTGGTGTAGAAGCGAGCGCGCTAGCTCAATTTGTCCATTAGATATGAGCAAAAACGAAGCGTCATGTTCGAAACGATGGCCGTTTCTTGTGTCGAAATGTGTAATAGTCAAACGTTCGCCGTTCTGTGAAATTTTCCACTATTTCCCAACTAAGGATTCACTTAGTGACTGGATTTTATAAATCTAAGTCCTTGGTGGTGGAAGTGGTCCTCGACAATTTGATGAAAGACATGCGTTAATAACACCAAATTTCCGTCTCGATCGATGGACAAGTGACAAAAAACACGAAAAGTATTGCGTCACTGCTAAAAAAGCGTTCCTGTAATCTGGGACATTTTATATTCAAAAAGCTACTTGTGGGACACCTAATCCAACCAGCGAATAAATGCTTGATTATTGTTCAGACACTCACTGTGCCCCCTTGAAGTTAACATACATCAACTTTTAATGATTATGCAGTTTGCTGTGGTTATCAAAAACTTTCAAGCCGCTGGGAAATAAAGGTTGTTTAGTGGGCTCTTGTGGTGCATTTATTCTCTTTTTGCACGCCATCGTTCGTTCATTAAGAGCCCTTGCAGAAATCCTCGGCCACGTTAATTGACCAATCGAAAAGCGCTAATCTGTAATTAATCTCGTTAGGCACATATATCGTCGACACTTATCCTCGACATGTCGGAGCGTCCTAGAGAAAAAAAACACGAAAAACCTCGATAATCCCGGATTAAAAATGAGATACACAGCAGGATCTCTGTCGTGTCGCCAAATAATCCGGCTTAAACCGACAAAATATGGCGGTTTAGCTTTTAAAATTTTCAGGGATCTGTTGAACGATAAATCAATCGGTTTGCTCGCTCAGTGTTATTCATATGGATGTATTTGTGTTCGGGATATAGAACGTGTTGATTTTGATTGATCAAGTCAACAACTCCCATTTAGCTCTATGATTCCCAATGTTATGACAGCAGAATTCAGATTTCCTCTTGCAGAACGACAAAGTATGCAATTCTGTGAGCGGCAGGTTTTCAGTAAGTGCACAGAAAATATACTGGCAAACTTAATCTCTCTTCATAAATTTGGAACTAGAGACCAGAAATTTTGAAATAATCCACGGATCCACCTGGTTGCCTAATCATTTCACGTTCACTTCACCTGAGTATAAGAATCCAATTGGAGAAACATTTGCTGTTAGGCATGGGTAACTCAATGAATTTTTAGGAGTTGGCGCAGTGCCACGCAATTGGCTACTTGTTTTTAGATTTATTTTAACAAAACATCTATCAATAATATATATATAAATAATCTTTATTTCCTATAGAAAAAGCCTATCGACCCAATCGGTCTTTCTGCCCTACCAATAATATTTTTACAGTTCAAAATTTCAGAGTTTTCCAGTTTTAGCAAAGTTACTCTTTTTTCTAAAGGCTCAATTTTCTAAAGATTCACTTAAAAATACTGACTGATCTTAACGTATTTTTCTCGAAAAATTATGAAATACCTTTTATTAGATCACTGGCCTCCTTCGTCGCTTTGTAAAACGTTTTGAAATCTCTTTCCAGCTTCGAATTTGGGACAAAAATCAAATAATTTCTACCAAAAAACGAACTGAATARGCAAAAGTTTATAATAAACTATTTGGAAAACTCGTCACTTCCATTCTTCTGTAAATAGTAGAGCTTGTTAAAAAAATAKATTTTTAAGTTTTGACTGATTTTTTTTGCTTAACTTTCTACTCGAAAAACGCTCTATTTCGTAGAGTGTTAGTTAAAAATACTGACGATCAGGATATATTTTACGCAAGAAAATATAAGATATATTTATAGCTTTGCAGGAATTTTACAAACGTTTTTTGGAGTCGAATTCAGGACAAAAACGAAAATAAATTTTATCCCTTTTTTTCCCGAAAACCATTAAACCATTAAGGTTTTCGCAAACACCGATCACAAAAATAAAGGTTTTAAATCAAAAACGCAAAAAAATATAATTTGCTGATTATTTTCTTCTTTTCTGACAATAATGTGGTCTTTGCAGCCGAAAATGACAAAATTCATTTTGCTAGGAAATTTGCCTCATTTATCGGTTTGCAGGGAACTTTAGAAAACTCTTTTTAGCTTCAAATTTGGCAGGAAAACCAAGTAATTTTATTCAGTTTTTCACCGAAATTTATTAAGATTATCTTGGAAAAACGACCCTAGAGCAACAAAAGTTTCAATAAAATTTCAGGTCATTCTAGTTTAAGCAACGTTGTTTTAAGCAATACCTTCTACGCAAAAAGCGCATTATTTTCAAGTTTCCCTTAAAAATACTGACAATTTTCAGGTATTTTCCGCGAAAAATTATGAAATAAATTTTATTAAAATACTCGCCCCCTTCGTCCCATTGTAAAAAATTTCAAAATCCCTTTCCAGCCTCGAATTTAGGACAAGAATAAAATAATTATTCGAGACTTAAGACGCAACTTATTCGAGATAAATTAATTTTCAAAACTCAGCTTTGACATGCAAAAAAATGTACTTTTTGCAGTTTTCACCTGAGCACTATGGGCACATTTTGGTCTGAAAACTACCCAACTGTTCAAGATGATAGTTCTTCTCTTAACGAATTAATATCAGAAGCGCGCACAAACTCAGCTTGCTAGAAGCAACCAACCTGCTGTTATCCAGCTATTACAAAATTGCAAATCCAAACAAAATGTAAGTTTAGTAAAATAGGTAAACAAAGTTAAAAAGCTGCTTTTAAATTTTATTCCGTTCCGTAACATCGCATTATTATTATTATCCACTTTTCCAGAGCCCTTCGAATGTGCATTCGAGTAAAATGTGAATTTGTTTTGGAGATGCGCACGAGATTTAGAGAATGCCACTTAACAATAACATTCAGAAACCTGAATCTCCAATATTGGATACCTAGCAAAGGGCCGCTGGAAAGATACTTTTTTATTCGCATATCTGATTAAGTGCTTTTCAAAAAGCTCTCTCTCTCATTGGAAAGCATTTTTCCTGCAATTTTCCAGCACATTTAATTTAGCAACACTGCACGAGCCCTTTCTTCGTTTAATACCGAGAGAAAGGGTCCATTATTCAGGATCTGATGTTCCCAGGTTCGTTTCGTCCCTCGCTCATTAACTATCATTTCCTCCTAATCGAAAAAGTTTTTTAAATAAATCCCGGATTCCCCGGATCTTTTCGATATCGCATTTTTCCACCTTCGGGAATCGGCTACTTTATATTGTGTTGCTGGATGAAAGCTCTATATTCAGCTGCTTTATTCAGCGAAAATAAAAATAACACTTTGCTAATGACCGCTTTTGAATATCTTGAAAATTAACTGTGAAATTCAGTTCATTACCAAATACGTACATACATACTGAGCCTAAATCACTAATATATAACATTAATCTGAACATTTGATTATTTCGATGTTTTGGACGCAAAGAAATATACATTTTTGTAATTATACCAACACACTGCTGATGAGCATGGCGCAAAACAATCAAAAACTGTTCAGAACTCAACGAATCAAACTAGTGGCAGTGGAAATGCTAAACACAAGAGGTGGTATTGCGGCCGGAAAACTTTTCCACTTTGAAGCGGCATAAAAGCGAACTCGAATAAGAAAACCTGTAATAAAGAACCTTGGAACTCAATTATACAATGAATTAGAGATTCCTCTAAGGAGATGGTAGCAACTATCTTAGCAGACGTAATTGGCTTTCGAAAGAGCGGAACGTTTTCCCATTTTAAAGCGTCCTAGCACTTTGACTAGTTTCATCAAGTTCAGTAAGTAGAAGGATTTTTGTGAAGGCAGTTGTTCCAAAGCTTTAACTAGGAAGCAACAGGCGAAAACAGCTTCTGAATTATTTCGCATCGGAAATTTATTGAGCTAACTTGGACATTCTTGCTTGGTTCATTCCACCAAAGTACTGAGGAAATTGTCCATTTCCTTCTCATGGTTTCGAAATTTTTCGAAATTGAACGAAACCAATTTCCCTGTGGTTTAAATTAT